GAATACTTACCGAAGGTGCATAAACGGAGATAAGAGAAGAAAGAGCGGGTCCGATTCAACTCGCCGGGGCGTGTCAGATCGCAATCCTTCGAAAACGAAAGGAGCGGAGGAAAGGAACTTCTTGACGTCCCAAGAGCCGAGGATTTGAGCGGCGGCGAGAAAAAGCGAACAACTTCTGACTGAGAATTAACCTCCGATTGTCAAAAATAGATGATTCCGCGGTTCAGACGAGTCCCAACGATGACCAATTTTTTAAAAAAGAATTTATTTATATTTATAATTTTTGTACTTTTACTTTTACCCCCTACATTTTCTGAATTTAATTTTCATTTAATCTTTTCTCTAATTTTATATTGTTTAATTTTGCCCATAAATTTCAATATTTATGCACTTCTATCCTAATTTTGTGTTAATTATTCTTCATTCATTAATTAATAAAAAATAGAGAATTAATATGAGACGGAGTGAAATCGAGATGGTCCGAACTTGACTAAAAAGGTCTTTTAAATTTTGCTTTGATTGTTAATTACTCTTCATTCATTAATAAAAAATAGATATGTTTTGTTGTTAATTATTTTTCGTTAATTAATATACAAACTCAGTACTAGTCTCTTTTTCCTTAAGATGGTCGGAGCTTGCGGGCTAGAAACAACTAGAACGTGACTCTTTCCATCTCAAAGCCATTTGAAGGGTATGTCGAGAACCTAAATAAATCGATATCAAAATAGTGATTTATGTCCCAAATGTGTTACAGCCACTTCTAAGTTCAAGATTTTTCCTAGAAATTACTCATGGGTTTGAATAACCAACCATTTCCATGCCTAGAGATCGTCCTTCCTTTACCAGATATTTCCTTCTTCAAAACCAAACATCAGGCGGTGTGCCAACGAGTGCAACTATATATATATATATATATGTATAAACTCATCATGCTGCAAAGAACTAGTACTGCTATATATATATATATATATAGGTTTATATATATATATATATATAGATTCAGTTTCAGTTGTTCTAACACAAAAGATACGTCGCTCACTAAACTGGAAAGAACAAGCATGATAAATAAGCAAGGTAGTCCAATGAAGCAAGGGATCTAAAATTTAGGAAACGCAAACAATGTTCTTCTCCATGCAGCTATTATAACTCGACTAACAGGACAGAATGGTCCAATCAAACATTTTAAGGATCCCATAATACTTTAAAAACACTCCACATCTAAAGCAATCTCTTTAGAATCAGTTCCCCCCAGAAGAAGCACAAATGAATAGGGAGAGAGAATGTGTCAACCTGGCACATGTCTGTCTGTCTATATGGGATCGTCAAGCGGCGGTTACTTCAGCCATTTCCTGATCCACTGTAGTTGGCGTCACGGGATAGTAGTTGTAATGAAGTTCCCCTACATCATCGCCAGATAGCTTTTTCCAACCATTTGGTCCCACGTAATAAACTGATCAATGGGATTCAAATCACAGTGTCAAGAGGAGAACATTTGGACAAGCACACAGATGAGTATTACAAACGCAAGGAAACATTTTGACAGAGAGGGATACCATACCGCTAGCAACTCCACCACTGGCTCCATCTCGGAAAGTTGCATGATAAATCGCTCGTCTAGCCAGTTCAGCAGCTTCTTCTACAGACAGGTCGTACCGATACCTGCCATGAATTAATATACATAAATTAAAGTAGATGAAAAGATGAACAATTGTTTCAAAATAAGGGGAGAAAATGTATGAGGAAAGAATGTATTTTTTCTTTGTTCTTTTATACTAGCCACCTCAGCGCAATTTTTCATCATGGAGTTATCTTTCCTTTCTTTTGATATATTCTTTTTCATGTGCAAAAATGTGACCAGGCATTCATGCCAAATCATGGCGGTTCAAAAACTACCTTGTTTATCCTAACATATTATAAGAAGTTCATAAGAAAATTACTGGATTGAGAAATAACGAAGACAGACCGATAACGGAGGATCACACTTACCCATTATCCAAGACACCATAGGCATAAGGTGAACCAGATCCAACAGAAAATCTTGTTCCCTTGAGCCTTCCTCCCTCACTGTCTACGTAATATAGACCAGGACCCTAAAATGCACAGATCAAGGTAAGTTATAGATCATAAGAGAATAAATTATCATCATAACAATTTTCATCATAAAATGAGAAAATAAAATAAATAAATATATTATTACTGTTTCATCCCATCCAGCAATCATAGTCCCAACAGAGAGACCCATTCCACGATAGGAGTACAGAATATTGGCCAGTAATTTTGATGCTCCGGCAACTGAAATCCGACGCTTATTTGCTAGTTCATGTCGGCGGCACTAAATCATGTAAAATATTATGATCAGCTAACCCACAAGGGAAAAATCCAAAATATCATCTTGGCAAGGAACAATTGGTTGAATAGAGAAGAATAAATATCTGACTGTGCACATACAAGTTGAGTTGTTAAGACTGGAAAACTCTAAAAGTAGAGGTAATGAGATCTTAACGCTTGTAATACCAGGTAACCCAATCTAAATAAAAGCTGATAGTCGTACAAGTAATTGGATGATGGCCAATTACCTTGACACCGAGATTTCTATGCCAAAACTGACAATCAGCAGCACCTCCAGCCATTGTGCCAAGCATGTAAGGATTAATTTCAATAATTTTCTTCACAGATTGCGATGCTGAACATATTTAAAAACAAATATTTAGTTCAAAACGAAGTAAGGTACTCAAAATAACAACATAATAACTAACAATACAATGGAGGATGGAGGGAGGGAGGACATCCGGGAAAAATATTAACAGGAAAATATGAATAAACACATCATGCTGCAAAGAACATTCTCTCTATAGGGCAGGGTCCCAAACTTCTAATCGTTAAAAGGGATAGAGTACCTTAAAATAGCAATTTATAGTTCATGGTATACAAACCAGACCACATCTAGAAACTAAATCTACAATTTATTTGAAGAACACATGTATTAAAGTTAGCATACATATGTAGCCTCCCATGCTGGCACGCGAATCAGCAGCAACCATGACTCCTTCCTTAAAAATGAAAGCCAGTGTGGTTGTTCCTTTTGCTGGCTTTACCATTTGAATGGCATCTTTCTGAAAGCCATCAAACTGAAACACGGAGAATATCAAAATCAGAAAAAGCAATTCTACAGAACAATATGCAGCCCAGAAAGCCGTATGAGAAATGATTTACAAATTACGTCACTGGAATTAGGGATCTCAAAGGATGGAGCAGCTGCAAACCCTTCCATGAACTCCATTTTTGGCCCAAACAGCGGAGCTGTTGTTTGAAGACCACTGGTATCGAGCTTCATGTTTCAACTTCTGTCAATGACCGAATATAAAGCTTCAGTACACGTTCATATTACGAAGAAGTTATCCACACAACAAGATCAAAGTTTGAGAAAAAGAAAAATCCCGAGAAACACCCACATCAATGCTGATGACTGAGCAAGTTCTACTTCACTCAATTAACTAAACTAGAACCTTGAAAAATGATCAAAACACGTCCAAAAACCAATGTACGCACTAATCGATTTGACATCAAGCGACACTAAAAGCTCCAAGACCATAAAAAAAAAAAAAGAATCATACAATCGAAATCTTAGTACCTCTCCTCGATTTCTATCAGAAATCATAAACAGATCCGTAAATTCATCAAAATGCACGCAACTTTCATATAAGAAAACATGTGGATACCAAAACCCTAACGATAGACACTGATTCCAATCTACAATATATCGTGATTCCGCATATGAATTCGAAGAACGAAAACGAACAAAATCTTACTAACTTCAACTTTACCTTGAGCTAGAATCTAGAGCAATATGAGAACAAAAAACAGGAACTACAACCAAACGGAAATACACTGCCTCGAAGGAAATGATCGGAATGGAGGGAAAAATGAGGACGTTTACAGGGAAATCGAAGGCCAGTTTCTTGTCCTCCAGGAAACCATCGGGTATAATGGGCCTGGGCCACATTTTTATTGCGGCTTTCGATACTGGCAAGTTTGGGCCTTAGGGCCTGCTGGCCCAAGTTTGACCAAACCTCAATCTAATTTGATCTATTAGCAAAAATTAAGGTTAAATTAGATAATTGTCTATTGTGGTTTGTATACAGTTTAAATTTTTTTTTATTTAGATAGCAATATTTTATATTTCGTTTACTAATATTTTAATTAAAAATTTAATTTTTTCAATAATACAAAAAATCGCTAAAAAAAAATTGATCTTAGGTCGAGATTGTATGTCATTTTAAAAATCAAATTTAATTCTATGGTTTCCATTTTTATTATTTGGTCGAGATTGTAACATATATCGGTAAAATACAATTTTAGTCTCTTGAAGTTTGAACTTAACTTGTATTTAATTTTTTACATTTCAAAGTGAAAATTTGAAAATATTTGTAAATGATCTCCCAACCATTATGTGAAAGAATGAAGATTTTTAATCAGCCACGCAATCCATTCTTATTTAAAAAATTTGAATCTTAAAAATTAAAATAAAATTCGGCGGCAAAAATCCTAATCAAAGGGGTCAACAATAAAGTAAGAATAAGAACATAAAAAAAAAGAAAGAAAAAGGAGAGAGAAACACCACATGTCCCAATCGCACACTTATGATCAAGTTTCAAGTCACATTTGACAACAAAAAAAAAATGTTTGTTTTATATGAGCGAAGGAATAGAATAAGCAACCACCACAACTTTTATAACACATACCCTTGTGTACATTTTGAGGCATTTTGAAACGAACATAAGACCATAGACAATATGCCCGAGACAAGTACAAAGGAATATCCAATAAGCAACCACAGACAATAGAACTATGTCCGTTACGGTTACACAATATCTTTTAAATGAATTAAAAAGAAAAAAATAATGGAAAAAACAAAAACTGAAACCAATCTATATTTTAAATGAAATATACTAAGCATAGCGAAGTTATAGGATCACCAATTCACAAATTTAAAAATACTAAAAGGAAATGATAGTTGCTCTAAATTTTGGGACGACTAGATCACTGACAAGCATCAATCAATCTATCCAACCAACAGCCAACAGCATGAAAATAAGAGATGCAATTGGTATAAACGAACTCAGAATCTCAAAATGGAACTCTGCAAGCTTAAAACTAACACTTAACATGCTGCAAAATCGCCTCAGGGAGACTGAAAAAAAAAAAAAAGACAATCTACGGATTACCTAAACTAAATGGTTTGTAATGATGGAATGGGTTGAAATACAGTGTTGCAATTGCAGGCAACCGAGTTGAATCACTCTTCATCGTCATCGTCATCGTCATCAGCTCCAGCAGCAGAATTCAATGCATTCAAACGCTCGACCAACTTGGCCCTCCTTTCATCATATGTGAGCTTCTTCAGGTTATACCTATCGGACGAACCGCGTAAGTATGGAAAACCAGAAACTAAAATGATAGTTCATTCATGAGAAACATAGAGAGTTAGCCATTAACCTCTTGTGCCCTTTTGGTGGTTGCTTCACAGTCGTCTTTGCAAGTGGTTCGGTACGAATTGCAGAATGAACTTTTTTCAATAACTCCTCGATGTTGTCAGGCTCGATCCCTTTCTTGATATAATCACTGAATTGAGATTGATACTTCTCCGGCTCATCCTCCATCAAGGACTGAGGAATACAACTCGAGAGTGAACACAATCCTCATGGCTGAATACTAATGTCTATTCTAATTTCACTATGCTCTAATATTAAATTCTGAACGTTTACCCTCATATAGGCTGCAACGTGCCCTCCAAATATGTATTTACGATGAACATCCGCATCGAGCTCCTTGCTGTCCTTTGAAAAACCAGCAAACCTCTTGACACTGTGTGGAACATCCAATCCACCATCTAAAGCTCCCTGTGTGACGTGAAAATTCATAGCTTCAGTCTCCAAAAATACAACAGCTTGATAAAAGATACCAAGAGCCACTGACATTATGAAGAACGCGGATACATGTTAGATAAAGTTTCCCAGTACGAAATTCGCAACCTTCCAGATTATGATGCAATCAGTTACTACATCGAACTTAAAAACTTCTCATCGTAACTATAATCAGCAGCTAAATTATCACGAATACTGAAGCTCAAACGTGGACTGACCAGATGTTAGAACAAAATACAGAAATATGTGCGTCAAATACACCCTTATACATATGTTACATACATAGAATTGGTTTAACAAGATATATTATTACTCATTTTGTATCCAGCCATGGTTTAAAAAAATAGCTAAAACCACTCATGTAAAGTCGACCAAACCGTATAAACTACCATAACGGATCTTGCAGCTGATATTAAATGGACTAACTAAATATACCTTGAGGGCACCAAAAACACGATTTCCTGTTGTTGTTCGGACAAGACCAACATCAAGGAGGGCTCTGAAAGGCCTTCGGCTATCTGTAGGTTCCACAGAGAAATCCTCTCCAGAAACCTGATTTATAAAACCACTTTCAGTTGATAAAAGTTTTAATTTTAGGGGCATAAGCCATAACAGAAGAGGTGAACTTCATTTAATTTTGCTTTCAACTTCTCTTTTCTATATGGTGATGGAGGGCGTGGATAGGATACCTCAAGATTACCCACGTACTCATCATCCATCTCGAGCTTCTTCAAGACACGGCGAGCCAAGAGAAGCCCAGTACAATAGGCTAAACAAGTGTCATACACCAATGAAGATAGGGATAAGAAGTTAGTAACAGATCAAAAACTCAGCCCCCGAGAGACTTACATTACAAAAGTAGTACCTGCTGCATAATTTGTTAGACCAACATCAAGACCATAATGAGGCAACTCATGAGAATAAGCGGCGGCAAGAACCATGTCACCAGCAATGCTAGAAGATACTACTTGTGCGGTAATATCCTTGTTAGTCTAGATATGAATGTTAAGGTTCCCGTTTCTCAAGTGAACATAACCACAGCTCACCCTTCAAAATAAAAAATACTCATAAAAAAAGTAATGATAGATAGTAACGGCAAACGTATTCAAAGGTAGTTACACAAAATTCAGGACTGGCAAATTAAGGAAGAACAAAACCACTCATTGCAAGTTCATCAAGAAATAACTGGAAAATAACACAAAAGACCACTTGCACTACTTAGACAACGGAATGAGGATACAAATCTAATCACAAAGCGGTATTTGGGAGTATTGTACTTGTTCTTGTCTTGATTAATGAGGCGAATCCTGGCCCGATAATCGGTCTTGCCCTCTATACATTATCAGAAGAGAGCACTATCAGAAGCCGACAATTAACTATTCAAATATGATTCATCGTGATAAACAAAAAAGAGATTGGAAATACCTCTTCTTCTCTTGTATTTGACCTGGTAGCGTTTGAAGTACGCTTTCGTCTTTTGAGCTTTTGCGAAAGCCTGCAACAAACAATTATTAAATCACGTCGATTACTCGGAGCAATAATGATACGAACGCTGATAACAAAATTAAGAGAAACGACGGCAGTAACTTGCTTCAATCATTCCCAAAAACCTTTGAAGGTCTCAAACATCTTAGGGACAATTCACATAGAACTATATATACGACTTAGAATTCCTATATACTTGAATTAAAAACTCAGAAACAAAAATTGTAAATGAGTAACAATATTTTCCAAAACAACTCAACTAAACTACGGCGCATATCAATTCAATGCAAGAATATTCCCGAAATGAAAGCAAATGCATCGTTCAGATCCTCGTGATATTTGTTTAAGAACGGAAAATGAGTATGCAATGCAGCTAACTTCTGTATCATTGTCTTGGCTGAAAGCTAAAATTCATCTGAGATTCAAGAACGCTATAAAATGAAGAGAATGATCATTAGAAGTTGAGCATAAACTCACCATCTCCGAAGATGAGGCCTGAAGTAAACTGAGAGAATGAGAGACGCGGACACGACCGAAGCAATCAGAGAAGTTTTTCGGACGAAGGATTCTTTTATTTATATAAACCCTAAGGCGACGTGATCAACGGCTCAGATCGTTCCGCTTTTTTTTTTTTTTTTTTTTTTTTT